GACGCCCTGGGTTTGTTAGAGGCGCCTGGGTTTGTTAGAGGCGCCCTCGGTTTGTAGGACGCCCTGGGTTTGTTAGAGGCGCCTGGGTTTGTTAGAGACGCCTGGGTTTGTTAGAGACGCCTGGGTTTGTTAGAGACGCCCTGGGTTTGTTAGAGGCGCCCTGGGTTTGTTAGAGACGCCCTGGGTTTGTTAGAGCGCCCTGGGTTTTGTTAGAGGCGCCCTGGGTTTGATAGAGGCGCCCTGGGTTTGTTAGAGCGCCCTGGGTTTGTAGAGCGCCCTGGGTTTGTTAGAACGCCTGGGTTTGTTAGAGGCGCCCTGGGTTTGTTAGAGACGCCCTGGGTTTGTTAGAGACGCCCTGGGTTTGTTAGAGACGCCCTGGGTTTGTTAGAGAGCGCCCTGGGTTTGTTAGAGAGGCGCCCTGGGTTTGTTAGAACGCCCTGGGTGGTTTGTTAGAGGCGCCTGGGTTTGTTAGAGCGCCTGGGTTTGTTGAGACGCCCTGGGTTTGTTAGAGGCGCCCTGGGTTTGTTAGAGAGCGCCCTGGGTTTGTTAGGAACGCCCTGGGTTTGTTAGAGGCGCCTGGGTTTGTTAGGGCTGGGTGTTAGACGCCCTGGGTTTGTTAGAGACGCCCTGGGTTTGTTAGAGGCGCCCTGGGTTTGTTAGAGGCGCCCTGGGTTTGTTAGAGCGCCCTGGGTTTGTTAGAGGCGCCCTGGGTTTGTTAGAGGCGCCCTGGACTTTTAGTTATATCGCAATACTAACAGCAATATAGACACTCCGCCAGACGCACGATCGCCAGCCTGGTAGTAAAGAACTCAACAGTGTACCCTTCGCCAGACGCACGATCGCCAGCTTTGGTTGTGGAGATCTCAACAGTGTACCCTTCGCCAGACGCAAGATCGCCAGCCTGGTAGTAAAGATCTCAACAGTGTACCCTTCGCCAGACGCAAGATCGCTAGCCTGGTAGTAAAGATCTCAACAGTGTACCCTTCGCCAGACGCAGATCGCCAGCCTGGTAGTAAAGATCTCAACAGTGTACCCTTCGCCAGACGCAAGATCGCCAGCCTGGTAGTAAAGATCTCAACAGTGTACCCTTCGCCAGACGCAAGATCGCCAGCCTGGTAGTAAAGATCTCAACAGTGTACCCTTCGCCAGACGCAAGATCGCCAGCCTGGTTGTGAAAATCTCAACAGTTTATTTGAGATTTCACTAAATAAAACTTCACCACACAAGAGCCACTGTTGAACCACTATGGCTTATTCATCACAGTGGCCTTCCCGAATCCATCATTTTCGGGGCACAAGAATTCCAATGTGGCGGTGGCGGCAGAGGCTGAGGCGGTAGCGGTAGCGGCGGTAGCGGTAGCGGCGGCGACATCTAAGCGACCAAAATATTACCCAAAATCAGGTCGGGATAGAGAGATCAACGCCATGACACCCGTGGCGAATCACTGAGTTGCCAACGATACTCTAACCTAACCTAATTATCTTCACCTAACTAACCCCAATATCCAAACCTCAACTAATCCTAATCAATAACCCAATCACTAATCAATAACTTAACGTAATTTAAACCACAGGATAAATTACCATTACCTCAGAAATATAATAAGATCAATGTGGCAACGTAATGTTTTGATAGATTTGGCGGCAAAAGGTAAGAGTTGCCATGTCATGTATTATTATGGTTGACTTCCCGCCAATTGTTGTGTTAATCAATTGAATTTATTTAAAACTATCTGGCTCGCTTTCCCTTATACCAGCACCGCCTTTACACCCAGTTTAACGAGTGGGTGAAAATGTACGGTATTTTTCACGATTCTGAAATCTACCATTACTTTCACCAACATATTACAGAAATAATAATAAAAATAATACGATAATAATAATACTAATACAAATAATAATAATAATAATAATAATGTCACTACTACTACGACTATTACTACTACTACTAATAATAATAAATTTAGTTTTTCAATTTTTAGAGCATTATTAACTATTTTTGTGAACGTAAACAAATAATTAATGTAAAATATTTAAGCTATAATGAATGACAATATCCGTGACGTCATAAGCCCCGAGGCAATAATGACGATATTTCCCCATTAAAAATAACTACAGATGCGTAAATATTGAATATATCCTTGAAATATTACCACGGTTGAATAGTTTAATATTTAAAAAAGATATTACGCCATTAACAAGAGAGAAGCTTAAAATATCAACTTCACGAAGAGTTGACGGGTCCATTGTTGACATCTCTGGCTATGTGCTTTACCATAATCAAACCTTTTCTAAATACCTCAATTAACACTAAAATCACTTACCAACCCTAACTAATTAACCCTCAATAGTTCATAATTACACTTACCTTATTACTGGTGGAAATAATTAACTAAAACTTACCTAAAATGGGTAAAAACTGACGTGAATGCTGACCACATGAGAACGGATATAGTTCTTAATTGTTAATCCGGCAAACCAATCAGATAATTAGCTAATCAACCGGCTAACCAATCAGATAATTAGTCAATGAACCGGCTAACCAATCAGATAATTAATTAATCAACCAATCAGAACCAAGAAATCGTCTTCAGTTTATACCAACCTAACCTAACCTACCCCTACCTCTCCTCTCTGACTCGCTAATCCCTGTTTTGGAGTGGCTAATCCCCCCGCTTGACTCCTTAATCCGCAACTTGACTGGCTAATCGGTCTTCCTGTGCTGTAGGTAGCCAGTAATCCCGTTAATCTCCTCCTGGGGGGGATTTAACTCTTGGATTTACCCAAACAAATTTATCCAGAGGCGTTTATTTATTTATTCTTATATTATTGTTATTATTATTATTAGTGGTAGTAGTTGTTGTAGTAGTGGTAATAGTAGTAGTAATGGTAGTAGTAGTTATAGTACTGGATTGAATAGTAGTAGTAGTGGTAGTAGTAGTTATAGTACTGGTAATAGTAGTAGTAGTGGTAGTAGTTGTTGTAGTAGTGGTAATAGTAGTAGTAATGGTAGTAGTAGTTATAGTACTGGTAATAGTAGTAGTAGTGGTAGTAGTTGTTATAGTACTGGTAATAGTAGTAGTAGTAGTGGTAGTAGTTGTTGTAGTAGTGGTAATGAAAAGTATTATTATCGTACTTTATTATTATTATTATCTTTTAAAGTAGCAATATTAATTGTATTTATTTTACTTATTGATTGACTATTTTTTTTAGAAAGATCATCTGAGAGCAACCCGGAAGTCGCCATCTTGGAAACAACCGGAAGCCGCCATCTTGGAAATGCATTCGGTCGTGATATATAAACATGACTCAAATTAAACCAAATAATCGCTCATAATTGTGAATTACTAGCAAGAGTAAGGTTGTTCGGGCGACTGAGACAGACAGGCATATTATTCACGAGATTTTCAATAACTATTCACCATAAATAACTAGAATCCAATTAATTTTAGGCTCGTTTCTGTATCAAAATCAAAATAACTTGATAAATTGTCTTTAAGTAAATTTCTATCATAGTTATAAAGTGAGAATAAGTACAGTATTAATATTACGTGGATTTTATACTTAAATTAGTATCTAACTTATACTTTTGAGCAGTTTATTGTTATTTTGTAGCGTTTATTATTATTATTATTTTAAGATATTCGTACTATTATTATTATTGTTATTATTATTAGTATAGTGGTGGTAGTGCAAGTAATAGTAGTGGTGGTGGTAGTGCTAGTAATAGTAGTAGTGGTGGTAGTGCTAGTAATAGTAGTGGTGGTGGTAGTAGTAATAGTAGTGGTGGTATTAATAGTAGTAATTACGGCTGTTATCATCATTATCATTATTTTCATCATCATTACATATCGTCATCTCTCTCCTAATAACAATTCTCAATCGTACACTTTTAATTTCTCTATACAAGGGAAAATGTACTATGAATGTACTCCAGGTGTACTTCAGGTGTGTAACAGATGTACTCCAGGTGTAACAGATGTACTACAGGTAACAGATGTACTAGATGTCTCAGGTGTAACGATGTACTACAGATGTACTCAGGTGTAACAGATGTACTCAGATGTACTCCAGGTGTAACAGATGTACTACAGGTGACGGTAAGTGGCCAGAGAAACAAGATCTTTCCCAAACATAATTTATTGTACACTTAACACTAATGACTGATAACAATTTGTACATTATATACACAGGTGTAGGTGTAGAGGGTGGGTGTAGGTGGGTGAGTGGGTGTAGGTGGGTCAGGGGATGTGGGATGGTAGGTCAGGGGGTGTAGATGGTGGGCGTAGGTGGGTCAGGGGGGTGTAGGTGGGTCAGGGGGTGTAGATGTGTTAAGAATGGTCGCTGAAGATGGTGTAAATGGTGTAGATTCTGTAGGGGTTCTTGTAGGTGGTGTAGATCAGTCAATAGACGTCTCGTAGGGGTTTTAACTGCTGTAGCGGCTGTAGTAGATGATGTAGAGGGCATGGTAGGTGATGTAACTGCTGTAGTAGGGGTCACTGTAGATGGTGTACTTCTGTAGTCGCTGTAGTAGGGGTCACTGTAGGTGGTGTGCTTCTGTAGTCGCTGTAGTAGGGGTCACTGTAGATGGTGTGCTTCTGTAGTCGCTGTAGTAGGGGTCACTGTAGGTGGTGTGCTTCTGTAGTCGCTGTAGTAGGGGTCACTGTAGGTGGTGTGCTTCTGTAGTCGCTGTAGTAGGGGTCACTGTAGGTGGTGTGCTTCTGTAGTCGCTGTAGTAGGGGTCACTGTAGGTGGTGTGCTTCTGTAGTCGCTGTAGTAGGGGTCACTGTAGGTGGTGTGCTTCTGTAGTCGATGTAGTAGGGGTCACTGTAGGTGGTGTGCTTCTGTAGTCGCTGTAGGTGGTTTGTAGAGATCATTGTAGAAGTCACTGTAGTGGGTTTAACTGCTGTAGGAGTCAGGCTTTAACTGTCGTAGAAGTCACTGTAGGTGATTTAACTGCTGTAGAGGTTACTGTAGATGACTTAACTGCTGTAATAAGGGTCACTGTAGATGATTCAACTGCTGTAGTCGCTGTAGTAGTGGGTGTGGGGGCAGTAGGGGGTGTCTCTGATGTGTGCGGATGTGTTTCTTAAGGTGATCTTTCCGGCCGAACCTCTTATCACACAGGGGGCAGGGGAAAGGTCGAGCCCCGCTGTGTATCCGCCGGTGCCGCGTCAGTTCTTCATTCCGGGTGAACTTCTTGTGGCAGCCTTCATGACCGCAGGCGTAAGGTCGTTCTCCAGTGTGGATCCTGACGTGACCTTTAAGTTGACCTTTGTTGCTGAAGGCTGACCCACATTCATTACAACCAAAGCCTTTTGGTCTGGGACGGCGAGCGCAGACTCTCTCTACTTCTGCAGCGGGGACTAGCACATCCAGGAGGGGGATTAGAGGGGACCCTAACCCCCCTAGTGCCGGTGTAATGCCTACCAGTGACCCGGTATTGAAGCCAGGTAGTCGAGGGTAGAAGGCATACCGGGTAGAGGGCCGTTGAATCCTGCTAACCCAGCCAACACGCCCATGGGTAGGCCTAGTTCCATGGGCGGCAGGATCTGGTTGAAAGGCGCTTGTGGGCGGAAGTCTGGTAGAGGGGGCGTGGGCGGTGCTGCTGTTCGTACACCCACACTAGTTGCCGCCCCTACACCCCCGCCCTCAGTCTTCAACATCTTGACTGGGTGGTTATCCTGGGGGCGCTCGCTTCTGTCCTGCGCCCCTGACGCCCGTCCCAGTTGCTAGTGTGGGCGTGGGCGGGTTGTGGGCGGCCAAATAAGACTGCCAAGGCCTGAAGATGGGCGGGGAGGAGGGTGGGTGGTGTGGGTCGGGGGAGGTCATGCTTCTATACCTCTCTGTGTCGTCTTCTCACTCACACCCTCAGAGGTCAAAGGTCACGCCCCCAGGAGTTAATAGACGGGACGGGACACAAACGAGGTCAGTGTGAAGTAGCTTCCATCAGTCAGGTCACACTGGGTCACGGGAGTCAATCCTGTCTTAATACGAGGTCACACGAAGGTCACACTTGTGGAAGGTCACACTTGTGGGAGGTCACACTTGAAGAAGGTCACTCTTGAAGTGGATTCTCAGGTGTACACAGGTAGATAGCTTGATGTGTACGCGCAGAAGTATACACGAAGTTGATGTGTACATGAAGCAGGTTGTGTACACGAAATTTAAATGTCCAAGTAATCGATGCGTACACGCGATGGATGTGTATACGCGCAGATGATATGCGTATACGGATACAGTTAAAGCGTACACGGAGTAACACGCACCCAAATAGAGGGCGCTAAGGAGTCAAGGACGTGTGACCACCACCACGACCCAACAACAACTGAACCTTGTCATTGTGTCCAGGGTCATATATATCCTAGTGCCCCCCTCCCCACTACTACAGGAACCATAGCCTGACCTCTCTCTCTCTCTCTCTCTCTTCTTCTCTTTTTCTTTCTCTCTCTCTCTCTCTCTCTCTGTCAGTCTGTCTGTGTTCCCCTTTTCAGTCTGTCTGTGTTTCTCTCTCTCTCTCTCTCTCAGGGCTGTCTGTAAGATTTCGTGGTTCGTTTAGTTGTGGTTGCAGTTGGTAGTAGTTGTGGTTGTAGTTGTGGTTGTAGTTGTGTGGTTGTTGATGTTTGCTTTCCATCCCCCCCCATTTCGTCTCCCGGTGCCTGCAAGTGTGTACCATGGCGATCTCAATGGTTAGGTTAGGTTGAAACGCCCGCATCCTGGCCTCCTGGCCTACAAAACCTTCTCACAGCCCCCACAGCCCTCTGGCCCTAAAAACCTTCTCAGAACCCCATGAGCCCCCACAGCCCCTCCTAGCCCACAAAACCTTCTCAGCCCCCAGCCCTCTGGCCCAAAAAACCCTTCTCACAGCCCCCACAGCCCCTCCTGGCCCACAAAACCTTCTCACAGCCCCCCACAGCCCCTCCTGGCCCAAAAACCTTCTCACAGACCCCCATGAGGCCCCCAGCCTCTAGCCCACAAAAACCTTCCACAGCCCCCATAAGCCCCCAGCCCCCAGCCCACAAAAACCTTCTCACAGCCCCCATAGGCCCCCACAGCCCTCCTACCCACAAAACCTTTTCACAGCCCCAGCCCTCTAGTCACAAAACCTTCTCACAGCCCCCATGAGCCCCCCACAGCCCCTCCTAGCCCACAAAAACCTTCTCACAGACCCCATGAGCCCTCCACAGCCCCTCCTCGCACAAAAACCTTCTCACAGCCCCATAAGCCCTCACCATCACCCCCTGCCCTCACCGCCGCCATTGTACACAGCGGACCTCAATTAGACATAAATATCGACACGTCAGCTGGGGACAAAGAGGCCCTCTGGGGGGGTCAACTGGCCTCTCCGGCTAAATATGTTGACATCTGGCCTAATGCATCAACAAGCCACAGCCAATTGAGGTATGGTCGCGTGGGGGCCGCCCAGATACCACCCATCCACCCACCCAGGAGCCACCCAAACCCTCCCCTTACCAAATCAACCCGGGGAATGTCGCTCTTAAACGGCTTGCTTAATCTACCATGCCACCCTTGCCGCCCCTGCCGCCCCTGCCGCCCGGGTGGTTTATGGAGCGGTGTGACGGCTGTTTTGGTGTGTGTGTTGCATCACTGTGTCTCTGTCGTGTAATCTCGTCTATATATCTGTATTTGGTTAAAGTATAGTGAAGATGTGGTGTTTTTTGGTGGTGTATTGGTGGCTGTGGTGGTGGTAACAGCAGGGCCAGAGGGTGATAGGCAGCTGGGCGGGAGACCCTCCAATAGGCGCCGCCCACCGTGTCTCAACCGCCCCGACACGCCCCCATTGGCCCAGCTGACCGCCGCTCTGACGTCACGGGGCTCACACGCCCCCATTGGCCCATTTGCCCAACGCTCTGACGTCATGGGGCCAACACGCCCTCATTGGCTTGGGCGGGAAGAGGGCGCGTCTCTACCCCTCTGTCAACTCCCAAACTCGACTTGATTCCCTTTTTGTTATTTAAAACCTACAAATATTTTCAGAAGATTTTTTCCACGCAACCTAACCCAACCTAACCTAACCCAACCTAACCCAACCCTAGCAACCCAACCTAACCTAACCCAACCTAACCCAACAGTAACCTAACCTAACCTAACCTAACCCAACCCAACCTAACCATTCTAACCCCTACAAAACATATATGGCCTCAAAAATGTTCCGAGACTCCACCATAACAAAGACAATTCTCTCCTATACTAAAAAAATAAAAATGGCCGCCGAAATACCCTGAGACTCTACAAAGGTCAACATGTTATTAGTTGCACTGTGACTCTACTTCAGCTATACTTAAGAGATAGTGGTTATAATCGATGGTGGTAGTTGTGGTAGTGTTGATGGCAGTGGTGGTGGTAGTGGTATCAATTCCTTACAAACTGTGGTAGTAGTGAAGGTAATATTGTGGTAGTAGTGGTAATAGTGGTAGTAGTGGTAATAGTGGTAGTAGTGGTGACAGTAATAGTAATTGGTAGTGGTAATAGTGGTGGTAAGTGGTGATAATTGGTGGTAATTAGTGGTAATAGTGGTAATAGTGGTAACAATATAATGGATGTAGTGGTAATAATTGGTAGTAGTGGTATAATTAGTGGTAGTGGTGACAGTAATAGTGGTAGTAGTGGTAATAATGTAGTAGTGGTGAGTAGTGGTAATAGTGGTAGTAATTAATTAATAGTGGTAGTAGTGGTAATAGTGGTAGTAGTGGTGACAGATAATTGTAGTAGTGTAATAATATTAGTAATGTTGACAGTAATAGTGGTAGTAGTGTAATAGTTGTAGTATATATAGTGTATTAAGTGGTAGTAGTGGTGATAATTGGTAGTAGTGGTAATAGTGTAGTAATGGTAATAGTGGTAGTAGTGGTAATAGTGGTGGTAATTAATGAATTGGTAGTAGTGGTAATAGTGGTAATAGTGGTAATAATTAGTAATAGTGGTAATAATTGTAGTAGTGGTGACAGTAATAGTGGTAGTAGTGGTAATAGTGGTAGTAGTGGTAATAGTGGTAGTAATTGGTAATAGTGGTAGTAGTGGTAATAGTGGTAATAGTGGTAATAATTGTAATAGTGGTAGTAGTTATTAGGAAGGCAGGGTCACATATACGAGTCAAGATAACAGATTCAATTTACCCTCCGTGTAGTTATCTTAGTGGCGGTCCCTTGAGGCTACTGAGAGGCAGTAGCCAGGGAGGGCGGCGCCCGACTGTCGCTTCCTGTCTTTAATGTATGAGTGACCCTCACCCCCTCTCTCTTTCTCCCTCTCTCTCTTTCTCCCTCTCTCTCTCTTCTCTTCCCTCCCTCTCTCTTTCTCCCTCTCTCTTCTCTCCCCTCTCTCTCTTTCTCCCCTCTCTCTCTATCTCATTCCCTCCTCTCTCTTTCTCTCCCCTCTCTCTCTTTTCTCCCCCTCTCTCTCTTCTCCCTCTCTCTCTATCTCATTCCCTCTCTCTCTTTCTCTCCCCTCTCTCTCTCTTTCTCCCCCTCTCTCTCTCTCATTCCCCTCCTCTCTCTCTTTCTCTCCCCTCTCTCTCTCCCCCTCTCTCTCTATCCTCCTTTCCTCCTCTCTCTTTCTCTCCCTCCTCTGTCTTTCTCTCCCCTCTCTCTTTCTCCCCCCTCTCTCTCCTATCTCATTTCCTCCTCTCTCTTTCTCTCCCTCTCTCCCCTCTCTCTCTTTCTCCCCCTCTCTCTATCTCATTCCCTCCTCTCTTTCTCTCCCCTCTCTCTTTCTCCCCTCTCCTATCTCCCCCTCTCTCTATCTCATTCCCCTCCTCTCTCTTTCTCTCCCCTCTCTCTCTTTCTCCCCCTCTCTCTCTCTCTCTCATTCCCTCCTCTCTCTTTCTCTCCCTCTCTCTCTTTCCTCCCCCTCTCTCTCTATCTCATTCCCTCTCTCTCTTTCTCTCCTCTCTCTCTTTCTCCCCCCTCTCTCTCTCTATTTCATTTCCTCCTCTCTCTTTTCTCTCCCTCCTCTCTTTCTCTCCCCTCTCTCTCTTTCTCTCCCCTCTCTCTCTTTCCCCCCTCTCTCTCTATCTCATTTCCCCTCCTCTCTCTTTCTCTCCCCTCTCTCTCTTTCTCTCCCTCTCTCTCTTTCTCCCCCTCTTTCTCTATCTCATTCCCTCCTCTCTCTTTCTCCACCTCTCTCTCTTTCTCCCCCTCTCTCTCTATCTTATTCCCTCCTCTCTCTTTCTACCTCCCCTCTCTTTCTCTCTATTTACCTTTATATGTGTTCTATCTAATTAATCTATGTATCTATAACAAATTTCTAGTTAATTGATTATATTTATACGTATAATTATCACCTATAACAACTATAACTTAATAAATTATATACAAAGGTTCTCAGAGCTATTGAATATTTGACTGTTTAGGTGAGAGAGAGAGAGAGAGAGAGAGAGAGAGAGAGAGAGAGAGAGAGTCTGCATCTAAATACTATATAGTGTCACCTTGGAGCACCTCTCTCTCTCTCTCTCTCTCTCTCTCTCTCTCTCTCTCTCTCTCTCTCTCTCTCTCTCTCTCTCTCTCTCTCTAGGGTCACAGGAAGGGCATATCACTGAACACAGTAGCCGGAAGTCCAGTCAGTGACCCTGTTTGACTAATATTGTGACTGTGATTGACCTTCATTGTCCTAGTGTGACCCTGCCTGACCTATAGTATGACTGCCTGAC